CTGAGTCTCTCTGCTCTAGAGAGACCCCTAGAGGAGGCGTCTCTTTCCTCTGACTGCAGCTCAAGACATTCCCGAACCTCACCAGTGGGGCTGATTCCAGGGTATTTGAATAGCTCATTAGCTCTGCTCTGGGCTTCAATCCCTCTTAATTAGTTTTGCAAAATATATTCATTAAAAAACCTCATTACAAATCAAACACAGGTCCTTGAGAAGTTTGTGGGTGTGGGTATAAGGGAGTGCGTCTTTGTGCTCGTGTGTGCCCGTGAGTGAGCGGGCTGGTGCCTGTGGGTTTCAGCCAATGTGAAGGGGTGAGTGTGTCCGGATGCAGAGGAGCGCCTTTGAGTGAGTGTTGTGTTCGTGTCTTTGTTCACATGTCCGCTTCACCTCCAGGGGCCCCCATGAAGCAGATTCTTCCTCCCCTCTTTATCAGTCATTATTCCTAATGGGCCCACACTGCGGGGAAACATACCCTCTCAACCCACATCTATTCTGGTTGTTTTGCTTTCCCCGTGCCCCCAGCTCTGGGTTCCAGTGGCAAGGATGGCCAATTAAAGGCCTGTTCCAGCCAACTGAACAGCCAGGGGGGACAGCAGTCCAATCTGAGAATTTGAAGAGGCCCCTGGGTGCTCTCTGCTACACATGTGCTGTTCCCTGATGCTCCAAGCCTCAGCCCAGGTGGGCTTCCTCAGCTCCTTGGGGCTGGAGATCGTTAGGTCTCCCACTCAGGGAGAGTCATCCAGCCACAGGGCTGCCTATAGGGCTGGGGGACAGTGTCCTGAGATGCCTAGGCCTAGAGTCTGGGGCCACTCTCCTGCCCCCTCCCACCCTGTCCCTGTTTCCCTACCACGTTGCTTGCTGTGAGCATCCCCATTTGGAGCCGAGTAAATTTATGGCATAATCCTGCATGGAAATGCATGGAAATGCTGCCAATTACCATCAAGCCAAGAGAGAGGCTGCAGCCCTGACGCCCTCCTCGGTCTGCTGTCTGTCGGCTCGCAGCCTTCCAGAAACCACAGGGAGCTAGAAGCCAGCCAGGATGGCCCAGATTGGCGGAGTGGGGCCATTTGTATAAAACTCTTTATTCGACTCACCTGGCCTTGAAGGTTTGCAGCAGGAGCGGCTCCTTCACAGGAAACCTGAGCAAACCAGGGCAGTGTCATTCCCGGAGTCTCGGCAAAGCCGACAGCTGATGGGATTCATCTAACTGAGATCAGTTCATCAAACTTGGGTAGAGCTGAGCCTCTGGAAGACGGGCAAATCTGATACAATCGCGTCTGCTTAAAATGCAAAGGCTCATCGAGATTTTGGAAACACTGTTAAGGAGAGTCTCAGTGAAGCCAGGAGGAGCGTTTAGCAGCTCTGAGCTGGAGCTGGGAGAGGGAAGCGGGCAAGGGCCTGCTCCAGGGAGGGGTGGGGCGGGCGGGGCTCGGGCAGGAGGGGAGGGCGGAGCTGGCTGTCCAGGCTCTGCCTCTTCTCGCGCTGAGACCAACAAAGGACTAATGACGCCTACTGTGTGCAGGCCCAGGTCTAGCTCTGGGGACTGGGGTGCAGGCGCTGTGAGACACAGCCCCGCCCTTGAAAACCTCACAGTTTCAGGGGGGAGGCAGACAGGGAAGGGGCATCCTATGACCTGTCCCTGAGTAGGGTCTTTATCAGAGGCTCGAGGCGCTGATAAGAGAACAAGGTGGGAGAACTTTGTGGTGAAGCACTCAGGTCCTGGAGTCAGTTGGGGCTGGGTTCCAACTCTCCTGGCTCACCATGTATTTACCAGCTGTGCGTCCTTGGGTGCCTCACGTAACCCCTCTGAGCCTCACTTGCTTCACCTGTGGAATGGGTGTAACAATTCCTACTTCTCAGGGAGTTGGGAGGATTGCTGAGATACCGTGTATAAAATGCTCAGCCCTGGGCTTGGCGTATAGTAAGTGCTCAGTGGTGAAGCTGGCATCCAACGGGGAGGACCCGGGAGGGGTTCTGGGAGGAGGTGGGGACACCAGCTAGGCCTTGAAGGATGGGAAGGACTTCAGGGGGTGGAAGGGACAAGGGAATACCCCATATTTGTGAAGCGAGACATGGCTGGCTGGCTGCTCATTGCTGTGCCCCCTACCCGCCCCCAACCCCCATCCCCCCAGCTCTCCTAGAGGCAGAGGTGGAGGCCTGGGCCAGGAGTGGTGGGGGCCTGTCCCAGGTAAGCTTCCCTTTCCCTACCACCCCGTCAGGGCCCCCGTCTAGCTCTCCCCTCACTCCATCTTGCTCCCCTTCCCCAGTGCGGATTTAGCAGTGCTCCTGAGATGCGCTTAGCGGGGACCAATTTCCTGCCATCAGTCAGGAGCAGTGGCATTTGTAGGACAGCGCGGAGGCCTGGGAAGGGGGAGGAGAGAGCACGCGGTGGCTCCCCTCTGGGACTGAGTACTTGGTCCTGCCCTGCCCTGGCTGCCCTCTGCCCCTCAGGTCTGTCTGCCCCTCCCTCTGGCTGGGGTTCCACTATGGTTAGGATGGAGGAGAAGCAGGATTCTGGTTCCTGGGGCGGGGGTGGGGAGGCAGGAGCCAGGGCTGAGCTGGGTGGAGGAGCGGGGTCTGGGAGGAGGTGGCAATCCAGGGGGACCATCAGTCAAAAGGGCACCGAGTTTTGTGTGAGTGGGTCCTCCTCAAGTAGGTCATCCATATTCTGGATCCTTTCAACTTTGTGGCTCTGGGTAATTCAGAGCAGGAACGTGGGGGCTCGTGGCAGACTCCAGCCTCAATGGGAAACTGAGGCAGCAGTTCAGGGCCCAGGAGGTGGTGAGTAGAAGCTGTGACTCAGGCAGCACAGGGGTCCAGGCTCTCATCAGGCTGCCGGGTGGGGTTCTCTTAACCTACACAGATGCACTCTTGAGTTCAGAGGTCTGGGCTGGCCTTGGGCCTGCAGCTGGCCACTGCTGACAGCCTCCTCCAGGAAGCTTGCCTGGATGCAACCAGGCCCTCTCTTTGGGTCAGGAGTCACACCCGGGTCTGTGCTACCTTCTCAGTTCCCTGTCTCCTTAGCTAGACGCAGAGCTACGATTTATTGAACACTATTAGATGCCAGGCCCTGGGCCAAGCGCTTGATGTATATTAGCTCATTTAATTCTTTATTAACCTGGGGAGACAGACATGATTAAAATTACCCCAATGTTTTGAGGAAATGGGTTCTGCGAGGCTGGATCATTGCGCAAGGTCTTTTTTCAAATGTCCCCTCCTCGGAGAATCCTTCCCTGACCTATTTGATTCGGTTCCTCCCCCGCCCCCACCTCTGGGCCTCCCCCTACTCTCACTGGGTTTTCTCCTTGTTTGTTGCCTGCAGCCCCTGCTGGTGAGCTCCGTGATGGCAGAGCCTTGGCTCTCTCGTTGCCCCGTGTGTCTCCGCGTAGAGAGCCGCCCCTAGAGCTGCGCTTTGCATGATGAGTGTTTGTTGATGAGTGGATGGATGGATGGATGGATGGATGGATGGATGCCCCATGGCTAACACTAGCAGAGCCAGGATTCCAACCGGGAACTGGATTCAAAAGACACCACTTGCTGGCAGTCGCCACACCAGTGCTGCCTGTCACTGTCAAAAGGAAAGCAGCTTATGGAGGGAGGGGTCATTACATGCGGTGGATGTCTTGGGTCTGGGGTCCCAGCAGACCAGGATCAGCCTGATTGCTGCTCTGGAATGAACAGCATTAAGTCAAAGATGCTAACACTCAGCCCCCAGCCCCTGTCGTGGTTAGAGGAAAGAAAGAGAAATCAGTTTCAAGTTGCTGGGGCAGAGGCAGCTGGCTGGCTCTGGGAGGAGGGCGATTTTCTTTGCATTTAGGACCTGGGCTCCTCACCCCTTCCAGGCCAGAGGAGCCGGACACGGATGGATCTGCTATCTAAACGGAGCCCAGCTGGGGCAGGCTGGGGGCCCTGCAGGGCTGGGTGCTGCTCCCTGAGCTCAGATCTGTATTAGGATTTGGGGCAGTCTATTTGTCTGGGAATGACAGGGACGGGGAGAAGGGCTTTTGGGAGATGAGTGGCAGGAGAGATAAGCCTGATGTGTGACTTTCTGACGCTTGGTTGGTTTGAAAATAAGTCCTAGGCCCAGATACCAGATTGACAGGGGGATCAGAGAGGGCTGTTTACTTTCCGCCTTCTTACTTTAAAAAGAGCCCATTAGGAGACTGGGTCCTAATGCTGGAGGAGGGTGGGGCTGTGTCACAGGTAACCTTGACTAGGCCACAAGGGAAGGTCAAGTGCCCAGGCGGGTGCATTTTGGAATCAGCCCCAATGATTCTAAGTTTCTGGGCTTGCCTTGGCTCGTGTTCTGGGAAGAAGCTTGAGTGCTTGGAGCTCACACACAAGAGGGCCATGGAGGCAAGGCCCTCTCCCCCGTGCATCTCCAGATCTGCTCTCGGCCCTTTCCTGCTGCCCTGAGCTGCAGAGGACTCATCAGTGTAGACACTTCAACAGGCTCCTTTGTCCTTTGGCTGGTTGGCTAGGTCCATGGATGGTGTTTGGGGGTTGGCTGGGCCCTCTGTGAGGCCACAGCTCCTGCCATGTGACCCTCTCCCTGCAGCGAGGGCCCCCAGGTTCTCTCCCTTCCCTTCCAGGCCTGGGGCTCCTACACCACCACTTACTGATTGCCCTACAGCTAGCCCGACCTCTGTCCCTAGCCCCTCCACTAATTTTTGTTTAATTTAAATGTGACATCTTTCCTGCTGGGATCCTGACTGATACACCAGGCTTGACCACACAAAGGACCTGTCTCTTGCTTCAATCGTGTTTGGAAGGAACAGGCCCTGGGACCCCACCTCCTCCAGCCTCTGACTGCCTTTCTACCTCCTCTCCAGCTCTCCAGTCACACCGTCTGGGCCCATCTCCTTGGCTGTGCGGTACCTCTAGGACCTGTCAACACCTTTTTTTGTGGTTAGCTCCTTATTGCCGACCAACCATGAGCTCCCAGATTCCTTAGAATTATTCACAGCCAGCTCATCCTGCACCCGTGGGCCTCCTACACCTACCTCTCGCTGGGCTTCTGTTTCCACCAGGATGATGTGGCTCTGAAGGGGGTGGCGGAGAAGTGTGAGGGTGCCCAGCATCTCTTGGAAATGCAACACCAGCAACGACAGCTGTGCCCTCTTCCAGGACGTGCAGAAGTCGTCCCAAGATGAGTCCGGTCCAACAACTCTGGACACCATGGCAGCCACCATGGTCCTGGGGAAGACCCTGAACCAGGCCCTTTGGGATCGCATGCCCTGCTTCTGCCCATGCAGACCCCCATCTCTGTGGCTTCCTGGAGAGCTGTTCCTGGATGAGGAGGTGAAACTCACTGAGAAGATGGGCAACCACCTGACCAACTTCAGGCTGCGCGGGGCGAGTATCTCCCTGAAAGCTCACTCTCAAGCACGACTAGGAGCCTGGCAGCCTTTGGAGGGGGGGCCCTCTGTATCCCCTGGGTGTCAGGGCTTCTGCCTGAGCCTCTCCTCCAGCACTAGGCAGCTTATGCCCAGCCTGGACCCTCTCCCAAGCTGTGGACCAAACGGAAACAATAAAGCTTTTTGCAATAACAGCAACAACAAAGAGGTGCTCCCATGGATATCCCCCCAAAGGGTCTGTCGGTATGGGAATAATGGAAAGCTGCTTGCTGTCTGGGTTTCCCAAGGCTGCTTTCCTGCCTCTGCGAGTTGGCCCAACCTAGGGGCAGAGGGAAAGCCATACTCCTAGGGGTCAAAAGATGTGTGTGGCAGATTCTGCTCTGTCTTTCAGGTTTCTCATCTGTAAAGTGGGGGTAATGATAACCGTGGGGCCACCAGGTGCCAGGTACTATATCCAGGGCCATATATACAGGATATCACTAGTTCTCCCCCGAAGCCCTAGGAGGTGACTTCTCTTAGCATCCCTCTTTGACAGATGAGGAAACTGGGCCTCAGAGAGGTGAGGAGCCTTGCTCAAGTTCAAAGTCTGAACATGGCAAGCTGCAGTTCAAACCCAGGTCCCTGTGTGCTCTTATTCCCAGCGCCCTCTCTGCCACACTTCTTAGGGAGTCTGAGACTCAGCTCTGCAGCAAGGCCTTGGAGTTGGCAAAGGGTAGTTTTCAGGATGCCCGCTGCTCAGCATGGGGACAGGCCTGGGTGGTGGGGCGGCTTTCTCTCCTTCCCTTCCCTGTCATTCCAAGAGAACTGGGCAGAACTAGCTTTTGGGGAACATCACAGGCCCCCACCCTCCCATTTCTCACCTGGGTGGAGGTACTAGTTTTCCTTGCTTTGCACCATGGGAGATTGACTACCTTCATGGCCCCAACTGATCACCTATCTGCATCCATACTGGTGTCCTTCAGCTTTGTAGCACCTTCCTATTGTGGCTCTGGGCTTCTCACTTTGGTCGATGGGACAGTAGCCAACTTGGTGCAAGCAGTAGTTAGAAAAAGTGTTCTCCTGGACCCCTGCCACTGTGAGGAGAGCAATCTAGAGCCGGCCTCCTAGGAGATGAGAGAGCCTCCTGGGAGAGCAGAACGAGCCATCTCAGGCAAGGCCTTCCTAGACCAGCCAGGGTCCAACGGGTCTGCCAAAGACGCGTGAGCCAAGTGAGATCAGCCAAGCCCAGACTCAAAAGAAATAAATGGTGATTTGTGTTAAGCCCCTCACTTCTGGGACCCTGGAGTGTTCTCCCTCCGAGGCATCTCTTTCTCCACCAGGGCCAGGCCACTTCTGGGCTTTCAGGCCTGGGGAGGTGAGGACTGGGGTAGGTGGATTTCTACTTAGACCCGATGCATGGATAACATTCTTCCAACTCCCTGGGGCCCTCACCCCTGGGCTTCTCAGCATTTTTTCCCTGAGGGTTTCCCCTGGTTCCCCAAGTCCCTAGACCAACACCAATGGGGTTCTCTTTCTGGCTGTTCCATAAGAAGCCAAACATGGCACAGAACACGTACCCCAAAGCAATATAGTCCAGGGCTTTCCACGGCCATCCCCAACCTACAATCCCACTGGAAAAGGGAGGAGGGTTTTTACACCCAAGGGCACTGAGACCCTCAGTGTAACACCAAGATTGCCCCCAGGTGATTCTCCTTCCTCTCCCCAACCAGGTCATTCTCGGTGCTGTGTGTTGCAGGTAGGAACCCAGAGCTCCCTCATTTCGCTGCTGGGAGCGCTATCTCATTGTCCAGGGGGAGACTTTGGGGACATGCTATAGGCAGATCACGGCTTTCAGAAACCACTGGACTAGAGGCTTGGAAGGCAGGGACCATGTCTGATTCATCCCTGTATCCCATGCCCAGGACAGGGAGGTAACATGCCTTTTACTGCTGCTGCCGCTCACTGAGCTGGTTTGGCAAATGTCTCCTCACCGATTTCTCTCTTTGCCTCTCCCTGTGCTCCTTCCTTATCCAGGCTGTTGCTGTGCCTACAGCTCCGAGCCACTGGCTCTTGTCTCCAGGGTAAAGCACAGGGGGCTCCTCAGCTCCCTTCTTCAGGAATCCCGCTGGGCTTTGCCAGAGCCCCTGCTCCTCTCGGGACCTTTCCCTGTTGTGTTGCCATTCAGGCCCCAGGATGGCTGGACATGGGCACCTCTGCTCCAGGCCGTGGTCTTTCCAAGGACCTCAATGGCAGCCCCACTTTCATTGTGATGGCTTCTGGCCCCACCTGGAATGGACAGGGCAGAGTTCACTGTCATTTTAAAAATGTAATTCAATTTAATATTTGGATAGGTAAGGAATTCCTGTGGTTCAAGGGTATCTACAGTGAAAAGCCCCCCTCCCACCCCATCCCCAGCCTCCTGGCTCTGCCACTGAGGCAATGTTCCCGGTTTCTTGTGTGTCCTTCCAGAGATAGTCCAGCCAGGTAAAGGCAAACATATGGATGCACACACGTGCTTTTATAAAATATTCTTTCCTCCTCTTTTATTCACAACTGGTCCCATATAATCCACATGCTTCTGTGCTTTGTTTTGCCAAATCAAAACCGTGATGAGCTGTCACCCCCTCCCCCCACCTGTCAGAATGGCTAAAATCCGCAATACGAGAAACAACAGGTATTGGCAAGCATGTGGAGAAAGGGGAAACCTCTTGCACGGTTGGTGGGAATGCAACTGGTGCAGGCACTCTGGAAAACAGTATGGAGGGTCTTAAAAAAGTTAAAAATAGAACTACCGCATGACCCAGCAATTGCACTCGTAGTTATTTACCCAAAGGATATAAAAATACAAATTTGAAGGGGTACACGCACCCCGATGTTCAGAGCAGCAACATCCACAATGGCCAAATCATGGAAAGAGCCCAAGTGTCCATCGACTGATTAATGGATAAAGAAGATATATAATTATATATTATATTAATATGTTATATAATATATAATAATATATGATTATATAACATGTAATAATATATAATGGAATGTTACTCAGCCATCGAAAAGAATGAAATCTTGCCATTCACAATGATGTGGATGGAGCTAAGAGTATTATGCTAAGTGAAATAGATCAGTCAGAGAAAGACAAATATTATATGATTTCACTCATATGTGGAATTTAAGAAACAAAACAGGTGAACATAGGGGAAGGGAAGGAAAAATAAAATAAGATAAAAACAGAGAGGGAAGCAAACCACAAGAGACTCTTAGCTATAGAGAACAAACTGAGGGTTGCTGGAGGGGAGGTGGGGGAGCAATGGGCTAAATAGGTGATGGACATTAAGGAGGCCATGTGTTGTGTGAGCACTGGGTGTTATATGTAAGTGATGAATCACTAAATTCTACTCCTGAAAGCAATATTACACTATATGTTAACTAACTTGAATTTGAATAAAAACTTGGAAGAATAAAATAAAATAAAGTAAAATAAAGCTACCTGATACACCTCTTACCGACCAGACTGGTAAAGCTCAAAAAGCTTGCTAACATACCGTGCTGGTGATTGGGAGGCAATGAATATCTCATGTGTTACCACTGGTACAATCTGGAGTGGGCCAGGCAATTTGGCGACATCTATCAACATTACAAATGCATGTGCCCTTTGGCATGGCAATCATACTTCTGAGAATTATACAAAAAGATACATATGGATGTATGTGAATTGGTGAATATACAAGATCATTCCTCATATCATCATTTGAAATAGTAAAAAAAAAAAAAAGGGGCGGAGGGAATAAATGTCCATCAACAGGTCATGGCTTAAATAAATTGTGGTTGTATGCAGCAATGAGATACCAGGTGGCCATTATAAAAATGAAGAGTGACCCAGCAATCCCACTCCTAAGTACATACCCAGGAGAATTGAAGACCTATGTCCACACAACAGCTTGGACACACATGCTCATAGCAGCACCATTCAACATAGACAAAAAGTAGAAACAACCCAAACATCCATCATCGGATGAACGGATAAACAAAATATGGTACATCTATACAATGGAATATCATGTCTAATGGACCTAATTTAATATTTTGTCAATGGCTTCCCGGTTGTCCCTATATTATCGAATAGTTCATCTTTTCCTCAATGACTTAAATCCTACCTTCATCATAGACTACATGCTCACATGTTTTTGGATTTATATTTGCACTTTTCTATTCTGTTTCATTGGTGTGGCTGTCTAGGCACGAGCCACCATCACATTATTCTAATTATTGCAGTTCTAGAATGTATTTAAATAGCTGATAGGGCTAACCTCCACTCATTAGATTTCTTTTGAGTTTTCCTGGTTATTTTGCATGCTCATTCTTCCATATGAACTTCAAAATTATGTTTCATTAAAAATTCTCATTGGTATTTTCTCTCAAAAAAAAAATCTTTAAAAAAAATGGGTTGCTTGGGTGGCTCAGTTGGTTAAGCGTCTGACTCTTGGTTTCTACTCAGGTCATGATCCAAGGGTCCTGGGATCAAGCCCCACATCTGGCTCCATGCTCAGGGTGCAGAGTCTGCTTGTTCCTCTCCCTCTGCTGCCCCCCCTACTTGTGCTCTTGCTCTCTCTCACTCAAATGAATAATCTTTACAAATTCCCATTGGTATTTTAATTGAAACATATAAATATTACAGACTAACAAAGGGAGAACTGATACAGCTTTATGATGTCAATCCTTCCTATCCAAGAACATGGTATGCCTTTCCATTTGTTCAAGTCATCTTTTGGGTCCCTCAGTAGAATTTTAGGGTTTCCTTTATGTTTTTTGCATACTTCTTGGCATTTTATCTTTTTCATTGTAATTGTAAATATCAT